AAAAAAAAAAACGAATATTTGTTCAACGAAATATGAAGAAAATCATTGTTTAAATTTCCTTTGCTCCATCTTCCCTTCAAAATTCCTCGATTATTTTATCGCACAACGGTAATAAAATGGGGACAAAACGACAATCGTCGTAAGAATAACTTAAATTATAGTCCCGTGATCTTTCGTTAGAAACGACCGAAGAAGCGCCTAGTCCCGTAGAAGAAGCGCCTAATACGACGGAGGAAGGAACTAGTCCGACGGAGGAAGCGCCGTTGCAGGAAAACGAAGTAACAACGGATCCGTGGGACGAGGAGGCGAAAGAAAGTGAGAGGGGGGGAAAAAATGTTGATTTCTTTCGTGAAGGATAAAGAGGGATACGATGATGATAGAGACGAGGATTGGAAGGGTGAAGTCTTTCTCGTCCGGATATTTCATATGGTGGAGTTTTAATCGGCTTTGCGAAATTTCGCAAGTAGCGAAGGATTTAAAGGTTGAGGGTTCGGCGAGAGTAGAAAGATCGAATAAAACGCGCCCGCCTTTGTAATCGGCTTTGTCAAATTTCATAAGATCTCCAGCCAGCTAAAATTCCATTGTAGAGGAATTTTAGCCAAGCTTTTATCACAGTCTTATTAACACCGTCCTTCGATCCATCTCGAGAGTTCGATTTAAATATAAGTTTCGAAAAATTCTATGAGCATATATATATATATATATATATGCACGTAAGAGATAGTAGGTCTTACGATTGCGAACTCGAGTAAGTCTTCTTATCCTTTTTCTTTTCTCTTTTTAACTTTGAAAGCTCGAAAGTTTCGGCAAAGGATTCGAGTAAAGTCGCTAAGTCGCTGATTTTCTAAAATTTAACAAAATTTCTCTTCTCGTCCTTCTTCCGTTTTTAATATCAAGGATTGAGAGTTTTAGAAATCTACATAAAGGGCCAAAAGTTCTTAAAATTAATTTTTTTTTTAAATTCTTTTGTTAAGCTTCAAAAATCTATATAAAGATCCAAATGAGTTCTAAAATTCAACATTCTTATCTCTTTCTTTAATCTCATCCATTAAGATCGTAAGAAATCTACGTAAAGAGTAAAGAGTCTTTAAGACTTTAAGGCTGATTTTTCTGAAATTTATTACTGTAGATATATTTATTATTTCGACTCTGTATAGTAATAGTCAGCTGTAAATAATATTCCAAACTCGTGGCTTCACTCACAATTTTGTTCCCTTAGGATTCGAAACAGCCGTGTTCACTTTGGCCACGTTCGCTGCGGTTTTCGCTGTCTACATGTACATCGTATACAGTTTGAGTAGCCCACCTACCGTGTTGGATCAAGTCTAACACTCTCCCCGTTACCCTGATCAAATGAGCGAAAGACCCTAGAATTCCGACCGACAAAGTCAACTGTTTGCGACAGTTACGCCACCCAACAATCATGTAATTCGACCATGTAACGAAATAAAACTTGCGGAGGAGAAAAATAAATTTCAACCGAGTATTTTACATTTCGTTCGAACGAAAGTGAGAGTCGA